AATACAATTTGAATAATTATTTTTTCAAAGCAAAAAGGCTTTTACAAAGTAAAGGAATAGTAGGCACTTTTTGTAAGTCACTTATGATAAAGGTAAACATAGTCTTAGGACAAGGCCATAGTTGACAGTCTTGAAGCAGGGGAAGGGGGTTCTCAGCAAGCATTTTGGATTATGTTCAATAAAGGAATTATATAGAACTGTGTTACATTTTAGAAAATGTGCTCCCTGTGATCAATAATGCCAGTGTTTTAAAATAAAAGTCAACATTTACTATAATTTTAAGTAGATGAATATATATATTTATACATTATGGTTATTTAAAAATATGGTTAGCTGGGCACAGTGGCACACACCTATAATCTCAGTGGCTTGGGAGGCTGAGACAGGAGGATCTCGAGTTCATAGCCAGCCTCAGCAACAGCAAGGTGCTAAGCAACTCAGTGAGACCCTGTCTCTAAATAAAATACAAAATAGGGCTGGGGATGTGGCTCAGTGGTTGAGTGTACCTGAGTTCAATCCCTGGTGCAAAAAAAAAAAAAAAAAAAAAAAAGAAAAGAAAAAAATGTTTAGAGTAACCCTAGGATGCTTAATATATAAATTGTCTTTTTCCCCCCCGCTTCAAATTTCTTATTATAATTGACTGGAAAATGGTTTGATACTATACATGAAGTGATAGTATACATTAGTGTTTGTAATAGTATAGAAAATCCTGAAGCATATAATTGTACTGAAATGCTTTTATATATTATTAAATTTGTCATAATCAGTCGGTTTGAGGCTTTCAATATAATTGTCTTTGTTATTAATATTAAACTTTGCTGAAGACACATGAAAGAATTATTATATTTGAAATTCACTATCTTGATTATGAACAGATACTATGTTAAGTTACTAGGGACAGCTTTTTGGAAGATTCATATTACTCTCAAGAATATTTCAAATGTCCACTTTTTGTATTAAGAAAATAGTGGCATGTAATCATGTGGCATCATATCTGAAGAGTCTTAAGGCTTATAGATTCTACAATATTTGCCTCTATTTAAGATATTCATTTAAGATATTAATTTAAGAATTAGAGTATGTCAAGAGCCAATGAGGATGCTTCTTTGTTTTTTATCTCTCTCTTTTACTACATGTGTATAAGGTGAATAGTTTGGAAAGGCATTGGTGAAGCACTGATCTTTTCACTTACACATGGGTGTAGCAGAGATTGTGAATGTCTTTGAGTATACACAATATTACATCTATAGATACAAGGGAAGGATCCAGTAGACGGGGAGAGGTTGATAACAAAGAGGTGATGATTTTATGAAATGAGGCCAGGGAGAGATGAAAAATGGAGGAGAATGGGTAAGACTATCAGGGCAGGGAATTTGGAGAGAACATGGGCTCTGCCCTGAGGTTCTGATATATTCTTTAGGTGTGAAAGACAGGTATAGGAAAGAGAATAATTCTTCTTCCTAGAATCATTAAGATTGAGAGGATAATTTAAGGGATTTATTCTGTATAAGAGAGACACTATGAAAATATGTGCTCATCTATCCATCTAACTATCCATCCATCTGTCCACTTATAGCCAATTAATCAACTAAAAAGAAATTATCTTCCCTATGTCTATAATAAGAAACATTAAAACTAAAGTAAATATGATACTTTCTATTTACTTTTTGTTTTTATTTCTATGGGTTTCATAGGGAATATCAGGATATTTTCTGGGGAAAGAATTTTATGCTCTCTTAGCCTGAAATTGTGGAAGAAAATAGGTAGAAGATAAGTGGAAAGGTTTTCCATTGATAGATACATGTTTCTGTGGGTTATTAGTTTTTTGTTTTAAAAAATGGGTCAAGTTATATTTAGAAGAGATTTTTTCTCTTTATTTCTGTGGATCTTCAGTAAATGCTTGCTGGTTGATTACTGATGTAGGTTCATATTCATTTGTGGGCTTAGTGATTTGGGTAATAGCTTTAATGACTAATATGTTAATGTGAATGTCAATGTGAATATGTTATGATATGCCACCTATGATCACTTGATTATATGTTTAAGAACATATACACTTTTATGCAAAATATCTCAAAATTGATTCTTAAGGATAAAGTTAATGCCTTTAAAGCCATTCTTTAAATGACTTATAATTATTATTTTAAAATTTGTCTTGTCTAAATATCAATGCCTTCTCAGTTTTTATAGCTATGCTAAATCATATCAGAAAATAAATTTCCCCTAATGTTCTTCCACAATCAAGATCCTCAAATAAGTGACCTTCACAATAAGTAGAGACATAACACATCTTACAAAGTTTTGCCTGGCTTCTCATCTAAGTCATCATTATAAGAACAGGCAAAATATATGTGTGACTGGCCAGAGCAATTAGACAGACGAAAGAAATTAAAGGCATAAAAATAGGAAATGAAGAACTTAAATTATCACTATTTGCAGATGACATGATTCTATACCTAGCAGACCCAAAAGGGTCTACAAAGAAACTGTTAGAGCTAATAAATGAATTCAGCAAAGTGGCAG